GAGAGAGAGAGAGAGAGAGAGAGAGAGAGAGAGAGAGAGAGAGAGAGAGAGAGAGAGGGGGTAGGATCTGGTCTCTTTTGGACGGTCTTCCGGAGGGGTGGGCGCTGGAGAATCGACAACAACAACCCGCCGCACCGCACCGCGCCCCTCGCCTCGGCGTGGACCCCCGGCTAATCACGTAAGACGCTGCCCGGCCCGCACAGCGCGCGCGCTCGCGCCCTGCAAGGACGCCGTGCAACAGCAAAGACAACAAACAACAACAACAACAACCGAGAGGCCCGACTAGTTGTTACTTTGTCGTGAGCGCCATTTGTCATCCTGTCACCGCGGCTCGTCGCGACCAGCCCCTCGCAGGGTAGGCCGCCGAGCGGACCAGGGCAGGTGCAGGCGAGCAGCGGGGCTGAGTAAACAGCCAGGCGGCCCAAAACGCACACTGAAAATGAAGGCACCAAGCGTGTCGCTATTGGGAGAGCGACGCATTGCTTCCATAGACGATTTGGGCTACCTCTGGATAAGAAGAAATCAAGTAAAAATGCCGACAAGCATCATGTCCGTTCAATATGGCCGCAATGGGGAGAGATAGGTTGGCCGCCATGATGCTTGTAGATTTCTTCCTCATTTCTTCTTATCCAGAGGTAGCCCAAATCGTCTATTAGCGTTTCTCATGGTTTCTCCTGCTGATGGAGCGGAGCTTTGCTTTTCGTCGTTCTATTATTTGAGTGATGACTTCGATGCGCCCTAACAGAAGAGTCCGAACTGCCTTTGCTGTTGAACCAAAAGAGTTCGGTCTGCTTTGTTGCCAAACCAAAAGAGTTCGATCCGGTTCGATCTAATGTGCCGCCAAACCGGAAGAGTTCGATCTGCTTTGCTGCCAAACCAAGAGAGTTCTACTTTCGGCGCTCGTCGACTGCTCCATAAACTCTATGATGTCCCGAAGCTTGTGAGGAAAAGGGTACATATTATAGGGTTTACACATTCGTGAAGTACAGGGTAACAGGCTATTCATTTTATTTTGCGCATATTCAAAATATCCGAGGAGTTATAGCCCTCCAAAGATGCCTGCCTTTCCACCGTCTTTATTAGGACGCATCGCACCGACTTAGGAACACTGCTTGAATTTTATGATGACCATCGCTCGAAAGGAGCGATGATCCAAAACCTCAAAAACTATCAATCACTCTTATTAAGCGATCTTCCCATAATGATCACTTAAATCGAGCGACTAAATGTGACAAAACCGGGTATCGCTTTAATTAGGCAACGGTAAAAGCTTTTTGCTATTTTTAAGCGAGACAGCTGAAGGCTACACTGATAAACTAAGTGTTCAACTGCTCAACACTTGTAAGTGTGCAACTGCAAGTTAAATACTTGCAAGTGTGCAACTTTGTAGTCGTACACTTGCAAGTGTTCAACTCGGTAGGTGTGCACTTGCAAGTGTGCAACTCCTCATTTGAACACTTGCTTAGATTGGACGATTAATGTGTAGGAAGTGCTCAACAGAGGAGTTGCCCACTTGCAAGTATTTAACTTGAAGTTGCACACTTACAAGTGTTGAGCAGTTGAACACTTAGTTTGACAGTGTAGCCTTCCAGCTTTTAAACTGACAAACTAAGTAAGTAACTGCAAGTTGAATCCTTACAAGTGTGCAACTCCAAGTTGAATATTTGTCGACGGCCCATTTTGCTCCTCGTATACTCCTCGATTAATGTCAAGTCGATAGGAAGTGATTGTAATTTTACAATTTCAAGCCGTAATTTTACGAACTCACATCCTGGGAAATTTTCTTGTAAACGTACGAGTATTTTTCACAGTTTTACAATGTAGATATCCCGCCCCCCTCGCTTCCGTTGTTGGGTTTTATCACCAGTATCCTCTCAAACGGATAGGTAGAACCCACGTTGGGCTTTCAATATTATAGGTAAAGCAAAATTGGCGAACATGCACGTGTTACAGCACACGCGTGCACACACACACACACACACACACATGCATTCAAACAGCGCTGCCAACCCCCCGGCCACCACCACTTTCACCTTCGCTGACCCCTCACCTCTAGCGCGGCCGGACCGGACCATCTGCCGGCCGAGCGAGGCGCCGGGCCAGGGCGCCGCGGAGAGGGCACACTCGTTAAGGTTGGCAGAATTTGTTTACTCTCGCGCGAGGAGGAGTAGTAGCGAGCGAGAGGAAACTACTGCTACCGCTTCACAACTACGCTGTTTCTATATTTACAACTGCTACTACTACGACTAGCTAATACTACTACTAGCTATAGCTAGTATTATAATACTATTATGTACCAGTTAGTTAAGTACTCGAGTGGTGTGTTTTTTTCTACGGAAGTAAAGGAAATAAAGTACACCACGGCACGCGACCGCGCGCACAGCATCGTGCCGCGGGCCGTGCGGGCGGGTGAGGTGGCGTCATACCTCGGCGACGTGCTTCGTGATCAGATTGTCACATGTCGGCGACCTACCCTCCTGGGAGAGTGTCCGTACGTCTGGGTCTGCCTGTCCGCCTGTTCGCTTGTCCGCCCGTCCGTCCGTCCGTCTGGTCAGCCCGGTAGTGCGGGGCCGCGGTGCGCGCGTCCACCTCACAAGCGTGTCACCTGACACTTGCACGTAATGGCAACGCACGTCTGAATTTCGTATACAGCGCCGAGGGAGAGAGCCCCGGGCGTAGCGGAGAGATGGCAAAGTGATAGTGCGACTAACTATAATTTATTATAGCAATAACGTAAAATACTAGTACTACCACTAGTCGTCTTTGCGGGGGGG